TCATTAGCCTATAATCAGTTCAACAGAAGTTATTCTGTCAGCTACTGCAACTATTTTTGAGATTTTTTTTTTTTAATCTGGAAAAAATGTAGCAACATATAGACAGAAATACATGAGCAAATCAGGAATTTGCAGCTGCTTTGGATGTGCTTTTTAAAAATCAGGAGAAAAAGATTTTTACACTGTTCAGCTGAAAGTAATAAGAATCTTAAACATTGATGTGGAAAAATTGGCAGACAAGACAAGAGCAGGCATGAATGAATAAGCAGTGCATCCTGTTGCATAGGATGACAGCATGTAGAATGTTGGCCTGCCAATAATAATCAAAGATGATAGCCTTAGGAAGAGGAGGTGGGGAAAAAATAGGGTGAGAAGAAATGATTGGGTTTTATTGCCAGTACGGTGGTGCTGATAGGAAGGTCAGGTCCTACCCTAGGGGTAAAATTAAAGTGTGTTGGAGAACGTAAATGTGTTTTTCCTGTTGGATTTGTTTCTGCTTTTGTTGAACTATGCAAGGGTTTTGCATCAAGCTCAACAGAACTAGAATGGCATTCCTCCTTTTTGCTTCCATACAAACTAGTAGAGTTCTTCCTTAATTTTAATTTTTTTCTGGTGATGTTTGTTTAGAATAGAACCTTCCCAGTTCCTTTTCTGAAACAGGGAGGAATCTCAACTCTGTCTGCACACAGGCACACATATTTTATTAAAGCTATAGAGAGGAAAACAGACTAAGGTAAAGGTTGACTTTTAAGATCATTGTGGGACAAGTAAGCTGCTGCTATTCTTGCTGTGCTCATATTTCACCAGTTGTTGAAAGTACAGTGAGAAGTTACAAAAGAGGAAAGCAGAGTTAATATGTTTACTGGCAGAATAAAAATTTTCCATAAAGGTTTCAGACACCTTTGTTTACTGTAATGTAGTCTCTTAAAACAGGTGGCCTGATATAAAAAAAAATGTGACCTGGGGGAAGCTTCCAAAGAATTGCCTCTTCAGAAGTGTTTTGTGTGGCTTATTTGCCAAGTATTTTTGCCTGTTGTCTGATGCATGTTCGCCGGCTTTACAGGTCACACAATTACAGTTTTGTTAAATGTATCTATTGTGATAGTTCTTTTTGTCCAGTTATCATTAGCTTATTCTTGAAATTGCTTATGAGCTAAAAATAATCATAGCGAACGATCTCGTTGTTTTAACTTTATGAAGTTATCTTTGTTATCTTGCATGACTCATAAGGAGTGTTTTCTTTCAGGAAAAAATGAATGGCTTCTGTACATGACATACTCAAAAGTTCTTAATGTACCTGTGAAACTTTTCAGACTTAAAAGCTCCCTGCTTCCATTTTTGTACTGTAAAACATACATATGTATTAATATGTTTTTTCATATATCAGTAAAGTAATAAAAAGCTGTTATGGAGCAAAAGGAAGTTATGCTTGCATTCTGCAAATGCATTTTGTTCTCGAGAGTTCTTTTTCTCATTTGGTGCTTGTAAGATCAGCAAAAGTAATACAATGATTTATCTGGTACCTCTGAAGAGTTTCTCTGGTAGTGAAAGATCCTGTCTTACACTGATAAAGCCAGCTCAGCAGGGAGTGCCTGGTTCTGGCCTTGTTTTGCTGATACAACTGCTGATTTCAGTAGGTTGTATGTTAAATAGATTCTTACTGGTCCTAGTAAGAGTTGCAAGAAACTTGTGAGTATTTAAGCCTTACATCAGATTTCAGGCTCAGCACTGGTTTGTATGTGAGTGAACTGATAGAAGGTTAAACCTCAGTCACGTTTGTACCTGAGCATGCCATTTAGGTGATACAGGCTTGGAGCATAACTCATGGATTACTTCATTTCCTCTGCAGTCTGTGTTGTGAAGTCATATAATAGCTTAATCTGTTGTGGAGTTAATGAGCTCCTTTACTTTGAGTTCTAGCTCCGCTGGTATAAATGTATGTACTTTTGTTTGAAACTTAACGAAAAAAATACTATTTTCTGCTAGGCAGCTGGTCTGTCTGTCTGTAGGTGATGAGGAGAAGGACAGTTGCAGGAAACAAACATGTAGTCCTTTTCTGCCTCATTGTTTTCCTTCTACTGATACTGAGATCCTCCCTAGGCAGTTGTGAAGTGATTGTAACTGGGGTTGTTACTTTTGTTTCATTTGATCAGGCCTGATTTTCCACTTCAGAACTACAGCCTATGTTGTGTGGAAGCACTAGAGTTCTGTATGTAGTGCTTGTTAAAACACGTTTGGGTACCATTTTCTGATCTTTTTCATGCTTTGTGCTGGTTCTTTCTGAAGCTTGCATTATCTTCATCTAATATTACAGTTATAAAATGGAAAGGGTGTTTACTATTTTTAAACTGGTTTTGAGCACGTCCTAAACTTCCTGTCTTAGTATGAAATCTTTCTGAAGAAAAGGGTGTGACAAATTGAGGGAGAAAAAAAAAAAAAGATCCAATTACTGTTAGATTGAGTGTACACTGATATCTTTCTACGTCGGTAAAACACTTTGTAACGCTTTCATAAGCAGATCTTTAAAAAAGTAAGCACCTGTGTGGTGCACAGTTCTCATTTGTGAGAATTTGTAGCATACTTTACTGAATTAGTACTTTTAATGAGTTTTGGTGGGACATGTTAGGCTTTAAAGCCTAAGCTGCTGTTGTGCCTAATCAGTCTAGAGGATGCCTTTATACTCTTGCATGAATAGGTTGCGTCTCTAAATCCTAGCTCTAATTATAGAACATGAGTCCAGAATGAGTTTAAACTTGAGGACATACTCAAGTTTATAAATGTGTTTATCCAGACACAGGGTGGAGCTGTGACCGCATCCTGTCAGTTTTTGGTGTATTGTACCACTGGAGGCCTTGAGCCATTCCACCCCTCCTGTGCAGAGATTTATCATAGGCTGGCCACTACTTCTGTTCTCTTCCCTTCTTCTCAGAAGATGCTGTGTACTACCCAGTTGCCTCATAATCTGTTTCATTTGACTCCAGAATGGAAAATGTCAGTGCTCTTCTTACACAGTCACTAGTGAATGTGCAGCCTGTCTACCGTTTAAGGGAACTGTGTAAGGCTATAGTTTTTCTGCAAATAGAAGTACAGAGCTCTTATATTTAGTGTGAAATAGCTCTTCTTGAATTTTGCATTATTTAAATGACTGACTCTCAATATATTCAAAAGAACCACTGAGATTAATCCAATTAGTTTGCCCTAGTTCTGAGTTGAAGTCATGCAGAGGTGTTAAGTTTTGTGGCTAAATGTAAGACTGTGCCAGGACTTATTTGAGAGATTTGAAAACCTTTTGATGAACCTGTGGTGAGTGACAAGTTGAAATGAAACTTGAAACCATATGGCTTTAGATTTTTACATTTGAACAACTTCAATACTTAAAAAATGCTGAGAATATGTTGGTTTGGCTGTATTTTCTGCCTTTGTTAATAATAAAATGAACATAAGGACAAACGTTTTTATTTTGAGGAATGCTAATAGCACTTCCATTTATTTGATTTTTAGTAGTTGTTTTAAAACTCATTGGAATAATTTTCCATGGAGTTGTTCTAATTACAAAAACACTATACAGAAGGTGGAAGATGCTCTGTTGTTTCACATAGCTCTAGGGCAGTGGTTTGTATCACACATGACTTTGGTTTTGGAGGAAGGATAGTTCCCAGGCAATGCATTCTCATGTGTTATTGCAGAAACCAGTACCATGAGCCTGTATATTTCTGAAGTGTAAATTTCTTACTCTTATTTTTCTAACTGGAAGTATTTAGTACCTTAGTCTGTCTTGTGTCTGCAAAATTAATTTCAATAGCTTTACTAGTTTTAGTTGAGAGAATATACCATAATTGTCTCTCTTCTTTCCTAGTTGGGTACGTAGGCTACACGTGAGTAATTTTACTATAGTAAATAGTTTTTGTAGTCATTACTCATCTGATGAGTTTCCTTTCTGTTACGCTAAAAAACCCCTCCAATCATCTGTGGAAACACAGAAAGGAAATAAAACAATTTTAAATCCTTTTTTATGATCTCTACATAGCATTTAGGAAATAAGACACTCAAATAGCTGGATTTGAATTACGGTATTTCCATTATTTTGAAGTACAGTATGCCACGTAATTATAATTTGTATTCCTAGGTCCTGTGACACAAGTATGACTTCAGCCTGACTTCAGTTATGACTAGTTTTAATCATGTGGATTGTGGGTCATTCTCCCCCCACACCACCCTTCAATTGTACAACTAGCCTGATCTCAACAGTAAAAGCTTGAAGTTCTCTAAAAATATGCTTTTCATATTATGCTAGTTTTACCTAGCATAGCTATGTTTTTACATTTGGCTAGCTTCCTAGAGCAGAAACGTTCATATGTGTGTATATATATATATATTATTTTTTTTTTGCAGACTACTAGTATAATGTTTCCTGTCAATATTCAAGTGTCATAGTTTTGATTCATTAGCAATCTGTCAATTACTGCTCATACCTGTCTTGATAGTGATCTTTGTTTCAGAGTTTTTCTTGATCCTTTCATTCACTTGTACACAGTGTACTGCACAGTAGAACATGGAGTATTCCAGGTCCCAGGATTTACTAATTTATCGGAGACTAAATTTAGGGAAAGCTAAAATCACAGACTGTGGCTGATTGATTTAGAAGTTATGTTTGAAGGTAGGAATGAGGCTGGAGTAAGAAATATTTTGAAGGGTTATCAGAAGGTGCTTCCCTGCCTGGCCCCCGCAAACTGGTTGTTGGAAGCAAGGCACTTCCCAAAATTCCAGTTACTTGTGTTGACGTTCATGTGTTGGTAGAGATCCTTTCACATAGCTCTCCCTTTAGGGATGGAGTGCTAATACGCATACAAAAACATAGACTTGAGTATATTGAGAGATGCTTTATTTAGCCATCTTGAATTTCTTTTGATATTAATTTCTTTGTTTCATGGAGATATCTGTACTTGTATTTAGTCAGTCATATCTACTTTCTCTGTTTTTGTACTGTTTCTTCTAGGATAAGTTGGATATCCAATATTATTGTGGTGGTCTCTCCTGAGAATATTGAAACAATGAAGTCTATCATTGAAAAATATGGCCACAAAAGAGTTGTGGTAGTAAAAGGTGGAATAACTCGTCACCGGTCAATTTTCAATGGACTGAAAGTATTTGTAGAGAATGAATTTTCCAACCATCTGCTCCAGAAACCAGAAGTAGTGATTATCCATGATGCTGTGAGGCCATTTGTTGAAGAAGATATTCTTTCAAAAGTGGTTATGGCTGCTAAAGAACATGGGGTATGTACTATTCAGTGATACAACTCTGCAATGTTCTTTGTACTGTACAGTGTAAAATCATGATTGATAAATAAGGATTTTTCTAGCAATTGTGTTAATGTATTATGTTGATTTTTAAGTAGAACAGATTCAGAATCCCTATTATGCAGAGAGGTCAGATGGTGGAGAGAGGCATTTTTAAATGCTACAGATGTTGTTTGCTATGGGGAACAATTATTGCCATAGAGACTATCAATAAAGAGATTGAATTAATCGGCAATTTGCTAGTTGAAAGATAGATTACATAACAGTAGCTTACCGTTTTTCATGCAGAATTCTCACCTAATGCTGGAGTGGTTTAGTTAGTGATGACTAATAGCAGCCAAAGAGAGTACTGCATTGGTTGACTTGCAAACTTTTATGTGTTTTCATCTCAAACTTATATGTGAATCCTGAATAAGTGGCAGGAGAGCTATCTCTGTATTAACACTAAATTTTTCCAGAATCTATAAGCATTGCAAAATGCTGAGGAAAAAGGGGAAGCGGGAAGCCTCCAACCATAGACTGGAGGTCCTTCTGGTCATCACTGCATCTGAGGACTGGGAATATTCACAGGAGCCAGAAAGATTTCTGAGCAAGTGAGTGATATGTGAAGGGGAAGAGTTGATAGAAGTTGTGTTATGCAGGTAGAATAGTAGAGTTATTCAAGGCGTGCGCTAGCAACAAGAGGAACTGGTGGATAAACTGACTAAGAGATGTAAGAAATCACGACTTAGCCACAGCCTTGTTTGTACAATTTGCCATCTTTACCTTGTACTTCAGTTCTCCATTAATAAGATAGTAGAATGCTTCCCTACTTCAAGGAGATGGTTTGAGGTAGAAGTCATTAGTGACAGCAGATTGTTTGGGTATTAGAAAGCTAGGAAAATTTACCACTGCTTGTCTTTTTCAGGAAATGAGGTAGAAGATAAGCTAATTGATAGATGATTTGCGACTTTGACAGTGGAATAAAGAGTCCAAAGAATGAGTTGTATTTCCTTAGCGCTCCTCCACCTTTTTTTTTTTTGAAAGCTCATAGTGTAGAAAGGGAATGTATGACTTCTTAAAATGTATATTAGGAAAACTAAATTAAGTAAGGTCTGTCCAAACATTATGTTAGAAATTTTAATATATTGAGCTTCTTACTGTACTTTTGTTCATTGGCTTAATGAGAAATGGCAATAAAATAGAAACTCTGCTCTATAGTTTTCAGTGATACAGAATGTAAGTTTTGGGTAATTAAAACTTAAATTCCATTAGAATTTTAACAAGGTTTTTGAGCTTTCTCATATAGCACAAAATGGCAGAGATTCAATTCTGGAATGCTAAAGACTTTAAAATAGATTCCCTTAGTAAATCTGTTTCAAATGTGATTCTTTGAGAGTACTAGAAGAATGAGGTTAATTGTACTGATGTTGAGTTGAAATGAGAATAACTTTTCTGAATGTGTTTAGATGTCTTTGTGTGTTATGGTATATCATATCTCATTTGTCTTTGTTTAAGGTTTTTAACTTGTTCACTTTTGAAACTTGTGTGATTTTAATGTAATACTTTTTCCTGATTTTCTTCTTAAATGACTGTAAGACAATTTCAGTAAAACAGTAGGGAAGCCAGGCAATCTCCATTGACCTTCTCAAGGCAGTGTACTCTAGTTCATCTGAACTTCTGACTGGTAAATATTTCCTTAACTAGATCACTGGTCTCAGAAAGGTGATCTTGTACATCTGTCGTCGTCTTTTCCATTGTATAATGTCTGTCTGAAATGTGCATGGTATATATTAGCTCAGTGGTGGCTTCCTGTGTTGGCTTAGATCCACTGAATTCAATGAGGCTAGGCCATTGGAGAACTGGACTCCAAAAACTGTTAGCTATTGATGTGACTTGACAAAGTAATTGAATTAAGGAACATGAGAAGAACTTCATTTTATGTAACAAATTAGAAAATCTTCCTGCCAGAGAAAGGTAGCTATCTTCACTTGACAGCTACAGAATTCTGAAGAACTAAATGACTGGAAAGCTAAGACTCTTTTTCAAAACTGACATGCATGGTTTTGAATATCGGAAAAAATTTGATCAAGAGAAGCTATCATCTTTACTTCTTCCTATAGTCAAATTCTTTTCATGTATAAAAGGGAGTCAGTTCTTCAATCTTTCAGTACAAAAAGTAATTACTTCCTTTTGCATTATGTAGAAAGGTACAAAACCTGGCAGAAACATATTAAATCACTAGTGTAATAGGAGTACTGCTGTATTGTTGTTCATCTGCATACCATATAGATAGCATAATTATGAGAAGATTTAATGTTCTTTAAAATGGCAATTGATCAAGTAAGTCATTGCACTTCTAGCTGCCAATTGTCAGACAAATAAGCTGCTTTATTACACTTACTAATCAGTTTGTTATTTGCCTGTAGGAATCAAAATGTGCACCTTATCCAGAACTAATAAATTATGCCTTAAATCCCCCAAACAATCCCTTGATTATGTGAAAATACTACTTTGTAACCAATTAAATTCCATTTATGTTTTTGGGGTAATTTTGTAATTAAAATTACATGTTTCTAGAAACAAATTCTTTATTGCTAGTAAAAGTTGGGAAAAGTGGAAGCTTCAGAAGGCATCAGTCCAGAGCCTCTAGCAATATCTCATTGCCAACATTGCATTTTAAACAACATAACTAAAAAGAAAAATGCTTACAAGAAAAAAAAAATCAAGGAGGTGGGGGGGAACTTCTCAGTTCTGCTATTGAGAGTTTAAAAAAAAAAAAAGGCGCATACAGTCAAAGACTCTTTCTGTAGTTAACATAAACTAGATTTGAAAGTATAGTTTATTTCTTTGAAAGGACTGAATGAAAATGGCATTCTTAAAAGCTGATTTCTGGAAGCTGTCTAACATCATTACATTATTCTCAGCTTTAGCAAGGATCTGAAGAAAGCATACATGCCAATACAGATGTACAGTGCTACTCAGTCTCTTGGACTCTTACTCACATACACAATCAGTCAAAATAATACCTCCAGACAGAAAGCACTACATATTATGCTTGGGTCTGTTCCTGCCTCTGAGTTTACTCAGGCTCAGTGCTGTGGTTATCAGTCTTACTGTATTGGAAGGCTGGAGCAGGAAACATGCACCCATAAACACACTGTTCTTTCACTCAGTTGCATAAAGCATTTTATTTTGCTATCTATTATTGTTCAGTTGCATTAGCAAAATGTGGTGGGTGTCAAACAAAAAAACACGTTGTCTTTTCCACTGAAGGTGAAGGAGAACTTGGGTGGATAAATAGGCTGATCTGGTGTGGTATACTTGAATGGGGACAGCAATGCCGGAGCAGTTCTGCTCAGTCTGTCCTTTCTTTGTTCTTTTTCTCTTGGAAGCAATTATCTTTTTATGCTTTCTTATCTCCTCTGTTTTCACCATATATGGCATATTTTACACATGATCTTTGTCCTCGTTGTTATAGTCCAAGACTGATTTTAGCCAGCTGTAAAGGCTACATCAGTAACAGACCATTCTTGATTTGTATCTATACACCGTGTCATCTGAAGTTGTCCTGTGCCTGTGTTCTCAGAGGTTCTGCTTTCACTGTATGCTCGATACTTTTGGTGGCTCCTGCTGTCCTGTCAGACACTTGTGCAAAAGCAGAATCAAGACCTGATGATGTATTACTGTCTTGATGTGATTTTTATTCCTCTGATGGAATGAGTTCTGTAGTTTAGGAGACTCTGACTTATGTCAATGTAAAAATACATATTAATTAATTGTAGGGGTGTTACATAGCAATTTTAGAAGAGAACAACCTGTGAAGAGCTACATGTTCTTAGCTATGCTAAGGCACATGGAGGACAGGGAGGTGATTTGAGATAGCTAGTGTGGCTTTACCAAGGGCACGTCCTGCCTGACCAACCTAGTGGCCTTCTATGATGGAGTGACTATGTCAGTGGACAATGGAAGAGCTGTGAATGTCATCCGTCTGGACTTCTGTAAGGCCTTTGACATGGCCCCCCACAACATCCTTTTCTATAAATTGGAGAGATGGATTTGATGGGTGGACTGTTCGGTGAATGACAAATTGGTTGGATAGTCGCATCCAGAGGGTGGTGGTCAATGGCTCAGTGTCCAGATAGAGATTGGTGACAAGTGGTATCCCTCAGGGTCTGTATTGGGACCAATACTGTTTAATATCTTCATCAATGACATAAACAGTGGGATTGAGTGCACCCTCAGCAAATTTGCAGACTACAACAAATTGTGTGGTGTGGTTAACGTGCCTGAGGGATGGGATGCCATCCAGAGGGACCTGGACAAGCTTGAGAAATAGGCCTGTGTGGACTTTAGGAGGTTCAACAAGGCCAAGTGCAGAGTCCTGCACCTGGGTTGGGGCAACTGCCAGTATCAGTATACGCTGGGGAATGAAGGAGTTGAGAGCTGCCCTGCTGAGAAGGACTTGGGGGTACTGGTGGATGAAAAGCTGAACATGACCCGGCAATGTGTACTTGCAGCCCAGAAGGCCAACAATATCCTGGGCTGCATCAAAATCAGTGCGACCAGCTGGTCGAGGGAGGGGATTCTCCCCCTTTACTCTGCTCTGGTGAGACCCCCCTGCAGTACTGCCTTCAGCTCTGGGGTCCTCAGCACAAGAAGGACAGGGACCTGTTGGAGCGAGTCCAGAACAGGGCCATGAAGATGATCAGAGAGGTGGAGCAGCTCTCCTGTGAGGAAAGGCTGAGAGAGTTGGGGTTGTTCAGCCTGGAGAAGAGAAGGCGCCAGGGAGATCTTATTGTGGCCTTTCAGTACTTAAAAGGGGTGTATAAGAAAGATGGGGACAGACTTTTTAGCAGGGCCTGTTACGATAGGACAAGGGGTAGTGGTTTTAAACTGAAAGAAGGTAGATTTAGACTAGATATGAGGAAGAACTTTTTTACAATAAGGGTGATGAAACACTGGAACAGGTGACCCAGAGAAGTGGTAGATGCCCC